TCAATAGTACTAGAAAGGTAGGATTAACAAAGGCCCTCTATTAATTGCATGCGCAAAACTTTCATTGTCAGTCTCAGGCCCCTGTTTGTCATTTGAGTGATTGGTCGTTTTAAGTGAATAGGAAATAAACCTATCTGAGAATGGTTATTTCAAATCAAAACTATAATTGATGATTATATTAAACATATATTGCTTACATTACATTAACATAATCTACATAATTTTCTCCAAAAATGTTTTTCTCATTGTTAAATGGTGAGTGTATTTATTACTTCATTTACACTTTTGTTACATTACCAATGTACGTTGTATTATCTTTTCCATGTCAAAGGAGGTATTGCAAATACTTTAAAATAGCTACATGACATTTTAGCGAAGTTGGCTCATTGTACGAAGTAACAGAATCTGAATTTAGCTAAAGTGCCAACAACCTTACTGTGAGAATATACATTTTAGCTTGAATAAACGAAATGTCAGATTAGCCAATTAGCAAGCTAATGCTAGATATGTGTCACAGTATAATGATATTACAATGCCTTCCTCTAAAGAATGCGATTTCTGTTGTCCTTACCTCTGTGACAACAGTGCTGGCCAAGTACCGCTTATCATAAATCCATCCTTGATCACATTTACGTGTAATGTTGGAGGACTGGCATGTGCGTGAAAATCCATCATGTGCTGAAATGTTTGTATTTGTTAAATTGGTACCTGGATCATACATTATACATGAATCCCATTCCAGCCTACCTTTCACATAGTAAGAAGGTATGAAACATTTTTTCAGCTGTGAGTTTTCGGAATATGTTTGGTTGTCAGCCACACGGCAGTAATGATCAACGGATGCACTGTAAAATGTGTTTCCAATACTGAACCATGCATGTGGGAATATTCCAAGGCAGAACAAAAAAAACTGGGACTTCTGGAATCTTCCAAAATCTTTGATGACACTTAGAGATTCAACGACCGCCATCTATACGTATTACAAAATAAAAAAAATAACATACATAGTATATATGTAAGATTAGAAAGCACGTAATGAGTCAGACCGAACAAATGAAATTCCATCACGAAATATAATTAATTGGCAACATTTAAGCATAAATGCTTCTTCTTATGTCCAGAAATTTACTTACACTTAGATAAAGTGTAGTTATACACTTAGATAAACAAATATTCGGAAATGGGCCCCTATGATTCACAACTCTGGAAGGTTTAAATATACTTATCCGCCGCCAAGATGAGAGCGAAGGAGCCACAAATACAAATGAGTACAACCCAGTGAATATTATATAGAATTCTGGCACATCACAACATAATTTAGTGCAGAGATTTAGTGAACGTTCATTCTATTTATGTATTCACATCAGATGGCTTAAAATAGTAAATCTGCATTAACAACAATGCTGCTGATCGAATAAATAAATGTATGTGAATATTTTAACACTTTTAGTCCAGTTCCAATCAGAATTGGCGAACTGACACGTTTTCTGATAATGAAGAATCGAAATGAATTAATACGATGTGTTAATATGATATATTAAACTTATCGAAGATGATGATTTGCGAACTAATCCCTGCATGTGATGTTTTACATATTATAATGATGTATTGTAACAGCGTGTTTGAACAAATACGTTAACCATTTAACTCTCTATTGCTACACATATATCCTGACCGCCATCGTCCAGTCGAGTAAGCACTGCTGTACTTACCTTTTTATCATTATTCAACTGAACAAAACCATTATCATGCCTTAAAACAATGAGAACGAAAATAACCACCCAATAGAGTGGTACGCCACATCATGTTACTCCGTTCCTGATACCGTGCTCTCAATTCACAAACAAGATTCATGCTCAAACTCACATGGTCCGTGCCGTGATGCTGTTATGTTGGGGCAATTCATTTGATGTACACTTAGTCTACGTCATCAAAATGTTTCCCGGAAGCTGTGCATGACTGTACTGTATTACATTAATGTATTCATAAACTGACGTCAGTCATGCGTTATGATATATATTGCCGGTAAAATCTGAGCGGAGCGAAATTACAACTCAGTATAGTCACTATAGACAATTACAGTGCAGGTAAAAAAAGTATTACGAGATCCTTTCGTCAATAAGCACAGTGCGATTCTTGTGATTATCAACAATTATTGCTTTACACTCACTGTAACCGTCATTGCTTGGTGACTACGCCGAGTTGTCGTTTCTCACTGTTCAGTTGTTACGGGTAGTATGTTCATGCTATTTTTTATTCAAAATGATCTTTATTAAAAGACATTTTTCCTGCTGAAATGCAATGAAAACGTATGACGGTGGTTGAATAGGCGACTGTTCCAATGTAAGTAGACAATAAAGACCGGTAAATAACAAATTCAAACAAATATTCTCAATTTTTCATGCCGATTATGTGTATTTGATGGCATTGACAATAGACCCTATTCGCTAATGGTCGCGCCCCAGTAGCGTGCTATAGGCCACTATCGCGACTAATGTTTCCGATACATACCGGCTCTCTCGCTCTCTAATTCGAATTCCATATTTCAAATTGTAAAATAGCGTTTACATGTACATAAATAAAGCTATGTAGTTAACTCTGCTGGTGGGCAAATTTTTTTGTTCGAAGGCAACTGGAACCGAGTAGGTTTATTTCTAACCAAGAAGACATATTTTTATGTTTTATGAATGTATTACCATCTAATTACTGTAGGGAGGTACTCACTACATGCTATTTTGAACTGTTTTGTTTGTTTGGTTTTGGGTTTTAGTGCAGCTTGCGTATTGTCTTCTTCACTGACACGCAATATATACTATTTTGAGCTGACTTAATCTATGTCAGTTAGTATGGTATGGTTAACCCATTTCGCCTGTAGTGTCGAGGCGCTAGACTGTGTGTGTGAGTTTGAATCTTGTCTTGCGTGTTTGTGAATGTTTATGATATTCAGAATCCATGGTTTGCGAATAACCGATATATATATATATATATATTCAAACAGTACGCCGTCGCATCGACCTTCACTGCGCGTCGGTCGATACTTCCGCTGTACTGTTTTCGTGTATACTTTGAGGCATCCTCGTAATAACCTCATATCATTATTACTAATATTACTAATATTATTATTATTATTATTATTATTATTATTATTATTATTATTATTATTATACGAGGAATTGTAATTATTTTAAACAATATTACCTAACTATATAAGACATATTTTTTAGAGTGAAATTTAATGCATAGAGCACACATGCATACACGACGAAATTGAACAATATTCTTGATCTCGCGTAATACATTGTACTCAACATTTATTTCATTTTTCAATCTGTAAGTAATAACATAAACTAGGAAACTGGTATTTAACTTTTGTAAACGAATTCGAATATCGGATCAAGAGGTACATCCAATAGCAACAATTCTTGTATCTTTAGAAAGTTAACTAGATACAGATGTGCAAGATATAGCACCACAGGAACCGCTCTCGGCAGAATAATTGATCCACACTGTATTATTTGTCACTAATAACGCTGCAGTAACAAGTAGGTGTTAAGAGATATACCAAATTACATCACTGAATCTAGCAAGTAAATTGGTACAGGTAGTATATTTTCAGGTTAAACAACTGCGAAAACATGACCGTGCGTAATGAGGTAATTGACCACACCATTAGCGGTTGTTTTGGCAACTATTGCTATTGTACTATTGCGTAAAGCGCAATTACATATGGGAAGGACATTAAAATAATGCGTATCGAACTGTTCGCCATGGTTTTTACGCGGTCGACGTACGTTTTCTAAAACTCGCGAGTATGGGCAGGGTGCAAAACAATACGAGTTGAGGCAAAACATGTCATCACAGCAATGCGTGCAGTACAGTACTGCTTTTTATGTACTTTTAATAACAGTGTAAAAGTGTGAGATTCAGTTCCAGAGACCGGAGACGCCGAGTAGGTGACTTGAGTGGGTGACCCGACGGTAGAGATGAAGTTATTAATAAAGTGAAAGTCTAGCCTGCAAAGCAAGTTAAAAGCCGACGTCTCATTATACTTTTAACTGAAAACAATTATAAATACTACCCCAATGGTTTGGTTGAACGAGCGTTCCTTTCAGTTATTAATTTGTTATTGAATACTCCCCGAAGCTGTTCAGCAATGTATCAGGTTTTGGATTTTTGTTGGTTATTGGTTTATTGTTAATCTGCATACAATGTAGTAACAATATATACAGAAGGGATGATTCAACTGTTGGCTGTCTTAAACATGATCATGCTCAGTTTAAATGACTTTAAGGAGAATCCAGGAGTACTATTTTTATTGTTGCCACAATGAATTCTGATTTGAGTCGCTCATGAACACTTTCAAATTGAATCACGATAAACTGCGAGGCAGATTATAATACAATCATAGCATTGAGTTGTACTTTACATTTTATTGTCCCAAGTTTTCTTTGTTCCAAGGAATATTCATTTGATGTTCGATAGCATGAACTAGGCAATGCAAATCTATCTTCACTATCAAATATGCAAATGTCAAATATGTATTACATTAAATAAATCTATATCTCAGCAGATAATCTATGATGATTGTATAAGTATTGCAGGTTCTATTCTTGCTGAGTTGTATTCATGGGATGTATGTGTGCTCAAGACAAGCTGTATGTGCTCTTCATTATTTTTATTCGATTCAAGTATCCTGAAAAATAATAGAGAGTAGATTATTCTAGGTCATTCTCCCAATATGTATAAGGCAACAACACTTGTAACAATAACAACATGTAACAATAGCTAAGACATGTATTAGTACTCAATATACCTCACATATCGCACGTCCAGGGTTAATTTATTTCTTTGGCTTATAAACCCTTTGCTCGACATGATAGCTTAAATGCGTATGTATATTATGGATTAAATTTGAAAACAACAATAAAACATCAATAAACGTGTTGAACTTATTGAATCATTGTCTAGATGTACAACACCATGCATAATATTTAATCAATTTACTTCTGGAAATTTTCTACTTCTTCGATAGTATCGGGCGCTGGTTTGTTCATTGTATCAGGGAGAAGAAGGATGAACAGTCCGGATATAATACATGGGACACTCAATGATGCGATTGGAGCAAGGTACCACACATAGTCTAACAGCAAGAGAAATGGTGCAATAATATCACCAAGAAAATTGAATACATGTCCAACCCCAACAGCAGCATTCCTTTCGAGAAAAATAGAGATGATTGAAATAATAAATACAGCATTTGTGTCTATAATTATGTGTAAGGTGAAATTTGAATGATTCAAGAGTTTTATATATGTTTAACACCTCAAATGCTGGAATATCACGTGATCTGATGTATGCGAGATACAATTAGATAATTAGTGAGTTAAGGATTTACAGTCAGATATAACACCATACATAGTCAATATCCATAAATAATGCATAAATGAAATTACAAGTTTAAGTCTATACAAAACAGCAATGTAATTCAGCAATGTAATCCAGCAAAACAGCAATGAAATCCAAATTTTCCATCAGAAGTCTAACAAACTCTCGACAAGTACACAACTTTCAAATAATGGAAAAAAACAACTCACAAGTAAATCAAATCTACAAGTGAAACACAAGAAATTAATATGATAATGAATTGTCTTCGGATTTATGGATGAGTCAGAACTCCTTTATTTTTCTGTAGCTATATTTTATTTTTAGCGCTAAGTTATACGAGTTACATCATATGGTTTTCATGGAACATACTCAACAACGTGGCAGAAAAAGTCATAATTAGTTTTAGTTTTTCAAATATTAATGAAATTAAAGGTAAGTTGTTATCAGAATAGTCACACTAATTAGCGTCTTAGAATTACCACGAGACAGAGGAATGATACAGTGCTGAATAATATTTTCGAATCTATATTGTTTATTCTGTTATGGATACACACCTGACCGGGGTTGGGAAAAGCTCTGACGTATAAATATAAACTGTACCAATACTGATTTTTATGAAGAACTTAGCAAGCACTACTGATACGAATAGCAATCCATCAATACCTGGAAAGACAGAGAGTATGATAATGTATATTGTACTGGTAAACGAAGTCATTGTACATATGATTGTGTGTGAATTCGTTGATAAATATGAATTTACCAGAGATACCACCAATCAGCAGAACTGATCCAGACAGTATTAATGATATACTTTGTGTTAACCGTCGTTGATAATTGTTAAGTAGCCAACAGTTCAGAAGTGCAGCGGGAATTTCAACTGCAGCAGTTAACACGAAAATAATGTAGGGATTCTTGGCAAACAAGTTGGAGTTAACAGATATTCCAAAATACATTAATCCAATTGCAAACCTGAAAAGAAGAACATATCAACTATATTTATGTCAACGTAAAACTTATAAAATCAGTTATCAGCAATGTCAAATAAAAGAAAGAAAAACTTACACTGTCACTTTGTCGAAATAGTATACGATGTGTGTAAGGTATAGCAGCATTGACATAATTACTTGTTTTATAAAACAGTTGTTAAATTACTTTTTAATAGTTGGATATCCGCTCAAAATAAAGTATTAGACATTGTGTTCATAACATTTAAAAATGTAGGCAAGTTTGGAAATCATACTACTACATATCAAATACATTTGACTGTATGGACGATAGAGCAAATTAATATATTACTTTTTAGTATGTTAAATGAATAGTTTGCTGTGCATTTTTTAAAGATGAAATGTTAAGTACTTATTTGATCTTAGTAAAAGCATTACATGTTTTAATTACATGATACTACAAGTATATCAGTGGGGTCCACTTGAATATATATTAACTTATATATGATGTGAAATAAAATTATATAATTATGCGTGCATGACCTTCTTTTGAAATGCACTCACCAACAAAATGATATATTTATAATTCTTTTTCGGATAACAGGTGTCTTGAAAAGTGTAAATATTGACTTGCGTTCAGGCTGTTTCTGAATTGGAATACACTTTTGTATTATTGTTATGTTATTCAGAGAGCTATAGTTACTTATGATAGAACATTGTAACTGTTCAGATGTGACTTATACCGTATTTGTATTGATTTCAGAATGTGGATGCAGCTGTATATATTGCTACACATAGGTTTGTTTATGAACACATATATCAATTCCACTAATACTTATTGTAACGTGTTTTACCCATGCCGTTTTTATAAGGACGTGACTGTCTTTCAACAAGGTAGGGGGATTTTGAGTGAAAATAGTTCACTCTTAAACGTGTATATATAATGGGGCTTTGTAGTAATTAAATCATGCAATATAATAGATACCATTTGTTATTATTATTTACCAAGTACACAATGTTGATGGCTAGGATGCATTGTTGCCAGCGTACCCAGTTGTCAAATGTCAAATTGGCCTTGCTTGACATCTGCACAATATGGCAGTTTCATAGATTCTTTAGACATGAAGTCAGTAAAGCTGTAGCCACGAACAAGAACGCAATTGTTAAGGCCAAATAACGTTATACTAATTTGCTATTGTACAGTATGTCGCCCTCTGTAGTTGAGATTTGGTAAGGTGGCTATTTATAGCACCGGGGAAAAGCAGAGAGAAATGGCGGATCGCAGCATGTCTTGCTGGTGTTTTGACGCATTTGCATGAATTGCAGCAGTCGAGTGAACTACACTAAGCGAAGTTTATGTTGTTGGTTGTTGGGGTCTAATATTACGGTGAGCCGAACTGCTGACTTTTGCGATGTTTGTTTGAGGTCATTGCTTCGTATACATGTGACTCGTGTTTACCGATCACGCTAGTCTTTACGCTTTACGATCTACTGCGTGTAATTCCATGTATTTCTAAGATGTGTTGTAATATCTTTACCTTTTGTGAGGTAGTCGCTAACTGTGATGATAGTAATATTACTGTACAAAATGTACATGTATACTATGCATATCAATCGATTACGTGAAATGTATAGCTGCGGTTCCGTAGCTCTTTGGTGCGACCTACAATCGAATTTCGCTCTAACAATTTCATTTGGACGTCTTTTTTTTAATTTTGTAGTTGTACGTCGAACATAGAGCTACGGGATCTATCACAGTTTAAAAACAGAAATCTGGCATACGTAAATTAAATCGCTTTTGCTTTCGATTGATGAAC